AAAAAAGGGCTTCTACGTCACCCAATTGTCGTCGCATGTAAAAATATTCGACGTAAATAAAACGCGGTGACAATTTTGTAATTAAGAGACAAAACTTTTACGTCGCGCACCCCAGCACGCGACGTAAAAAGCTTTCTTTTACGTCGCGCCACCCAGGTGCGATGTAAAAGAGTGCTTTTTACGTCGCGTGCTAGGATGCGCGACGTAAAAAGTCCCTTTTATTTTCCCCCAGACCCACTCCCTCGTCTCGCGCAACTAGGGTTTTTGAGAATGACGACGAGAACGACGACAACAGCTACCTCTGCACACCATTTTCGATCAGTTTGACACTGGAAAACATCAACATTGTGTGTCATTTTACGAACTTGATATTTCTCCCCGATTGGATTCGAGTTTGAAATCATTTTTCGTCTACACTCGAGGTTAGTGTTCTATGCCATTGCTATATGTTTAAATTGAATCCGTGATTGTTTTTGGGGATCTCAATCACGTTATAGTATGAATGTCTCCACTGGATTGTTATTGGAATGTAATTATTTGTTTATTTGTTTGAGTGCATTCGGTTTACACACTCCATTGTTGTTGGAACGTGCTTTGTTATTTGTATATTAATTTCTTTTTACATATAATTTTTAAATCTCTAGGAGTGACGAAACTTTATAACATAATATGAATCGAAGTTGGATGAATGTACGTCGTATTAGTGAAGAGTACGAAAAGGGAGTTGAGGAATTTTTGAAATTTGCTAGTGAAAATGGAAAAGCTATGAAAGGGACATATTATTGTCCATGTGTTCGTTGTTTGAATCAAATTCATTATAAACTTGAGGATATACGTGATCACTTGTTTGTTTATGATATTATTAAGAGTTATACAATATGGACATGGCATGGAGAAATATTAGACATCCCAACTGTGTCAACTACAGACAATTTTGATGAAGGGATGGATGCTAATCTTGAGGATATGATACGTGTTATTGGTGAAGAAAATTTTATGAAATCACATCTATATGATTCTTTGAAATCTTATTTTGCGCAACAATTGTACATAGGATGTAGTTTTACAAGATTATCAGCAACTTTAAAATTGTTTACTTTAAAAGCAAGAAATGGATGGACTGATAAAAGTTTCACCGAATTATTGGAGTTGTTGAAGGAGATGCTTCCTGAAGATAATACATTACCTATTCGTAACTATGAGGCAAAGAAAATATTATGTCCAATGGGTTAAGAGTACAAGAAGATACATGCATGTCCTAATGATTGTATATTGTATAGAAACGATTTTGCTAAATTAAAGATGTGTCCGACATGTGGTTTGTCGAGGTTCAAAAACAAAGTTGAGGAAAATAGTGGTGAGGAAGAACTAGATGGTCCCCCTGCTAAGGTGTTATGGTATTTGCCAATTATACCTAGGTTTAAAAGATTATTTACCATAAAAGAAGATGCAAGAAACTTGACATAACATGCAAATGGTAGAAAATGTGACAATCTTCTTTGACATCTAGCTGATTCTCCACAATGGAAAAGGATTGATGAAACCTTTCCAGAATTTGGTGCAGAGCCAAGAAACTTGAGAATTGGATTAGCTACAGATGGGATGAATCCTTATGGAAATTTAAGTAGTAAACATAGTTCATGGCCAGTTTTGTTGATCATTTACAATTTGCCTCCTTGGTTATGTATGAAGAGAAAATATCTGATGTTATCTATGATGATTTCAGGACCTCGACAACCAGGAAATGATATAGATGTATATTTTAGTCCTTTAATTGATGATTTGAAGATGTTGTGGGAAACAGGAGTGGATGTATTTGATTCATATCACAAAGTGAATTTCAGGTTGCGTGCAATGTTATTTTGTACTATAAATGATTTTCCATCATATGGTAATTTGAGTGGTTATAGTGTGAAAGGTCATTTAGCGTGTCCTTTATGTCAAGAAGACACAAGTTATATCCAATTGAAACATGGACAAAAAACTGCGTACAATAGGCATAGAAAGTTTCTAGTTGCTAATCATCCATATCGTAAAATGAAAAAAGCATTTAATGGATATCAGGAGAATGCGGTTGCATCAGTACCACGCAATGGTGAACAAGTATATGAGCAAGTGAAAAATATTAATATTGTGTTTGGAAAGACCCAAAAGAAATCCAATGAGAAAAACATTTGGAAGAAACAAGTCTATATTCTTCAATCTTCCTTATTGGTGTAAGTTGGAAGTTAGACACTCGTATAGATGTGATGCATGTTGAAAAAAATGTTTGTGATAGTATAATTGGGACATTGCTTAACATAAAAGGAAAGACAAAAGATGGAATAAAAGCAAGACAAGATTTGGTAGACATAGGTATACGTTCTGAATTACATCCACAATCAGTTGGAAAACGCACTTACTTACCTCCAGCTTGTCATACTCTATCAAAGAAAGAAAAGAGAAGCTTTTGTGAGTGTTTATGTGAGGTCAAAGTGCCACAAGGATACTCCTCAAATGTTAAGAGTCTTGTGTCTATGCAAGAGTTGAAATTAGTTAGTTTAAAGTCTCATGATTGTCATGTGTTGATGCAACAACTTTTACCAATGGCTATTCGAAACATCTTACCAATTTCTGTTAGAATTGCTATTACTCGGTTATGTTTGTTTTTCAACGCCATTTGTAAAAAGGTAATTGATCCAAAAAAGTTAGATGAATTAGAAAATGAAGTAATTGTAATAGTGTGCCAGCTTAGAAATGTATTTTCCCCTTCATTTTTTGATATCTTGGTGCATTTGATAGTCCATTTGGTAAGGGAAATTCGGTTATGTGGTCCAATTTTTCTTAGATGGATGTATCCCGTTGAGAGATACATGAAGATCTTAAAAGGATATGTGAAGAATCGATACAGGCCGAAGCTTCTATTGTGGAAAGGTACATTGCAGAAGAAGCCATTGAGTTTTGTTTAGGATACATGCCAAAATCGGAACCAATAGGTATTCCTAAGATGAGACATGATGGAAAATGTGAAGGCAAGGGTACTCGAAATTTAAAGATTAAAAATTTTAGTCGGAAAGAAGTTGACCAAGCACATTTATACATATTGAACAACACTGATGACGTAATCCCTTACATATCAGAACACGTAACTGAAATAAAGGCAACACATCCACGAATGAATGAAAAATGGGTATTGAATGAACATAACAAAAGTTTCCTTTCTTGGTTTAAAAAAAGGGTATATGTTGAGATTAATGTTTCAGAAACACTTTTGAGACTTGCTCGTGGGCCTAATACTGATGTCATTACATTTGGTGGGTATCACATTAATAATTATTGTTTCTACTCAAAAATAGAAGATGATAAAGGTAGAGTACAAAATAGTAGGGTCACAATTCAAGCTGAATCTATGCATTTTTCTAGTTCTAAAGACAAAAATCCTATCACAGCTTCTATGAGTTATTTTGGGGTCGTACAAGAGATATGGGAAATTGATTATGTTACTTTTAGGGTGCCTGTCTTCAAGTGTAAATGGGTTGAAGGGAATACAGGTGTGTGAACAGATGACCTAGGATTTACTTTGGTTGATTTAAGTAAAGTTGGGTATAAGGATGAACCTTTTATTTTGGCATATCAAGCGAGACAAATATTTTATGTCAAGGATCCATGTAATGAGAGATGGTCAATTGTCCTTGAAGGAAGAAGCATGCACGAAATTCATGAAGATGAGTCTCTAGATATACATGAAACACCTTCATTTTCAAGTAGACCATTTGATGACATAGTTGACAATGAAGTTGATGACATACATGCAATTCGAAGTGATCATGGTGAAGGGATATGGGAAAACATACCAACATAATAGGTGTTTATCTTCACATTTTCTAGTTCTTTTTTTTCACACTTATAAAGTATGTTGACTTCATATTGTTTTGTTTTTCAGGATATGTCGGATTCCACATCTGGTACTGGTAGTGGTAGTGGTAGTGGCAGGAGCGGAAGTGGAGGTAAAGGTAGATCTATCACTCGGTTAAAGGGGTTGACGATAAGGAGGGTAGCTAGAGAGAAAACTCAAGTTGAAGTTGATCCACGTTCCGGTAAGGCATCCGGCCCAAATGTCGCTAAGTTTAAGAGCTATTTGGGACTACTAGCTCGACACCATGTTCCGATTACTACTCCATCTTGGGATGATGTAGAGGAAACCGAGAAGAACCTCATGTGGCAGGATGTTTAGGTATTTCTATATTTGTTGAATACTTTATATATCATTATTAATTGAATTTAACATTTATTGGTCATTTCACGACAAAATTTTGATGTTCCTAACACCGAGGTGATGAGGAAGAAGATTTTATCCTCCATTGCCATTAGATGGAGGGACTTTAAGACTTTCTTGACACGAGAGTATGTATTTGGAAAGTTTCAAGATGAATCTCCCTGTCTAAAGTATCAAATTAGTGAGGAGGATTGGTTACGCTTTGTGCCAGCCGAATGGACCCCTCTTGGCAGGATTAAATATGTGTCGCCCAACAACGTCGGAGGTTGAATGATGCACCCCATGTATTGTCACGAGGAGGGTATGCATTATTGGAGCAACGTCTCATGAAATCCGGAGAAGAGTCGCCAGGAGTTGAGTCTACTGACCATGCATCTCCACCCCCTCGCTATGAGATGTGGAAGGCAGCCCGGACAAAATCTGATGGACAAATGACTTCTGAGTCTGCACGAATCATTGCTCAAAAAATCGTAAGTTATAATGTCAATTTGAATTGATTCTAATGTGAAAGTTAGTGTATGACTTAATTATTGTTAATGTGTTGTAGGATGATTTAGTTGAGCAGAGCACCCAAGGATCATTTATTCCTCATGGTCGACAAGATATATTGGTGACAACCATAGGAAAACCAGATTACTCAGGACATGTGCATGGTGCTGGTGGATCCTGGGGCCTTCTTGATTACTTTGGTCCAACATCACGAAGGACCACTATCGACTCTTGCAGCCAAGAGGCCTTGCATAAAATGGAGATGCAGTTTGAAGAAAAGTTAAATCAAATAAGGCAGTCCTTGCAGCAAGAGTTTGATGAGAAAATTGAATCTCTCGCCCGCTCTCAGCAACAGACTCAAGGAACACCTCAAACAATTGAACATGATGTTGTTCGAGTCAACACTAAAGGGAGTTGTGCTGCTACTACTATTGATCCTTCAGGAAAATATACTCAGACTGATGCATCACACCAGTGTGAGTTATATGTTGAAGATGACCCCCCGCGTCTAGTGGCTATTGGTCGAGTTTTTGAGGGTGGTTTAACCATCCATGGTGTCCCTCTACAGGCAGAGTGGACACGAGTAGTAGTTGATGAAGTTCATGATGCTAATGCTCCAGTGCCTTTTCCTAATGAAGAGATTCAATTAGTGGGGCAGGCAAGCAGGATATTCTTGGCTTGGCCAAGACGTTTGGTTATGCCACTATCAGCACATACCAAGGTAATATATATATATATATTGTCTATTTTCTCTTTTCTAGTATTATAATTATATAAATGTTTAATTAATTGTTATCATTTGTTTAGGAGGACTTGCATCGTGCTAAGCATAAAAAACAACCTATTATTGATGAGGATTTGACGAATGTGATGATGATCCCATCTCTATGTTGTTGACCATATTACCACGGTTGAGGAAGAGACCGTGTCGATAATATGGGATGTTAGAGTGTTTGGAATTGACAATTCCAGTTGTTCCATTATACATTTCCTTGCCCGATGCTTTAGAAATTACTGGGGAAATTGCATGTTAAACATTTCCATCATACAATTGTGGGCAATGTAAGTCATTCTCATTTATGTTTCTAAGATTATAATAATTATATTCAACTTATAATTAATTGTTTTAGGTACATTGACAAATTGAGTCCGGAACAAGAAAAATCCGAAGTATACTGGATTTATTGAGCCTCAATCCATCCAAAAATTTGGTAATACAAAGGTTGGAATCCAACAATATATGCAAACATGGATGAGTGACTCAAAAAGACATATATATTTGGCTCCATACATTGAAGGGTTAGTATTTTAATTTGTATTTTAATTTATATTTTTGTAACTAATTTTTATGTCATACAACGTAGGTCTCATTGGTAGTTAATTGTAATCATACCCCGGATTACACTCGTGGTGTGGTTTTGTTCATTGCATCGGAAACCGAGTCAAGAAATGAAAAGCTTATTACAAGGGTAACTTTATCTTTTATTCATTAATTATGTTTTTAAATTGTAAATACATATTGAATAATATATGACTTTTTTCACTTAGAATCGTGTCCGGAACTAATGTTCTAAGTGGAAAACCTAGAACAAAGACTTGGCAGTTCATTTATCCTAAGGTTAGAAACTTATTTATTTAATTGAATACCATAATTATTGTTTGTATTTAAATTTTGAAAATAACATTATGTTTTTTTCATCATTTCAAGTGTAATAAGCAAACAGGACTCGTTTGAATGTGGTTACTATGTTATGTATTGGATGAGAGCCATAGTTTGTGTGGGTATAATTGATTCTTGGATGGAGGTAATTGCTTTTAACATTAGTTAGGTTTATTTAACTTTATTCATGTTGCACGTTTACAAGAGTCAAATTAATGTTTCAGGTATTTCGAGATCCATCTCCATTACTAGAATCCGATATTACACAAATTAGAGAACAATGGGCAAAATTTTTTGTTCAACAATTCTAGTACATAATTTTTTAAGTTCTTATTCATATTATATTATGTGTATTATGTAGTTTAGGTAGCTTAGTTTGTATTAACTTTTAGTTTGTAATAGATTTTTTAGTTTGCATGTTTGTATTATATTGTTTTATTATGTAGTTTGAATTATATAATATTATATTTTTAATTTACTAGCTAAAGAAAATTAAACCTTTGGACTGTCCTGGTTATTTGCGGGTTTTAGTTGTAAAACAGAATCAACCCAATTTAAAAAAAAAACAGCAAATTTACGTCGCATATTGGTATATGCGACGTAAATTTGCTGTTTTTTTTTTAATTTCTAAAAGTTTTTACGTCTGTTTAGTGGTATATGCAACACAAAATTACGTCGGGTCTTGATAACTGACGTAAATTTACGTCGGGCTAAAGGGTCTGACGTAAATTTACATCTCCCGTTTTAACGTCAGTCTTAAATACGACGTAAAAGTCCTAAATACCTGACGTAAAAACCCCTTTTTGCACTAGTGATACCAAAAAATTTAAAACACAACCAAAGAAAATGAAGTCATCAATACTATATAGAATTTGAAGAGATTCGTATCTCATATGTGGAACTTCGACTGTTGTAGCATATTGTTTCTATCATTGTAACCATGTCTACATGTTTCTAAATGATAAATTGATTATTTTGGTGATCATCATTTTAAGTGAATGCAGACCCCTAAATTATGTCTTTATCATTCGCACACTACTACAAAATATGCTTTCAACGTCGCCATTTAACGTCGGTTAAAGCTGAGCCGACGTTAAATGCACTTTCAACGTCGGTTGATTAAAAGACGACGTTGAAAGTTGACATTCAACGTCGGTTCAACATGGTATCAGAGCCAAAGCCTAACATCTTTCCGGTTATTGTCATGGGCCAAAAAGTTGCCCTTTAGTTGGGTCAAAAGTACGGCCAAAAGTTGCCCTTTAGTTGGGTCAAAAGTACCCTTTGCCTGGTCCGGCAGGCTTCGTTGGAGGGGGTGTGTTGAAAGTACCACATCGCCTACCTCATATCATTTGGTATGGTTTAAATACATGTTAGGCTACTCCACATATTGCCAATTGGTTTTATGTTGGAACCTTAACATAGTATCAGAGCCAAAAATTCTTTTAAGTTAGAGAATTGTCACTGGCAGGGTTCGAACCCAGTACTTTAAAGTTGAAAGTTGATACTCCAACCACTAAACTACCGTAATTTTCTCGATAATAACTTACAAATTAATTATATTTATATACAAATAAATATATATTCCGTATAAATATATATTTATTTATATTTTCCGGAAAGTGTTTTTATTTTTTTTCAGCCAAAAATTCACTTAAGTTAGAGAATTGTCAACGACAGGATTCGAACCTAGTATTTTAGAATTGAAAGCTAATACTCCAACCACTAAACTACTGTAATTTTTTGATAATAACTTACGGATAAATTATATTTATATACAAATAAATATATATCCGTGTAAATATATATTTATTTATATATATTTTCCGGAAAGTGTTTTTATTTTTTTCAGTAAAAAATTCACTTAAGTTAGAGAATTGTCACTGATAAGATTCGAATATAGTATTTTAGAGTTGAAAATTAATACTCCAACCACTAAACTACTATAATATTTTGATAATAATTTACAAATAAATTATATTTATATATAAATAAATATATATTCCGTATAAATATATAAATACAAATATATTTATATATTTTTATGTTGGATGTGAGGGCGCGATCGAGGGTGAAAGTGAGATTGACTCTCGTTTGAGTGAAAATACGTTAAAGCTCACGTAAATTCACTCGTTCAAGCCTAGCTTGAGCGAAAATTGGTATTTTTCGCTTGAGCGAATGTGTCACTTGAGTGAATGATGCGTTTTTCAAATTTATTTTATATCATTATATAAATAAATTATAAATATTATATTCCGTCATTAAATTACAAACCCATATATAGAGACTCGCTCACAAATTTGGCATTAAATTTTGAAAACCCACTCGACACACACTTTCACCTTCGAGCGTGCCCTCACATCCAATATATAAATATATAATTATATAAATATATCAAAATATATAAATATATTTGTATTTATATATTTACACGGATATATATTTATTTGTATATAAATATAATTTATTTGTAACTTACTATCAAAAAATTCGAGTAGTTTAGTGGTTGGAGTATCGACCTCCAACACTAAGGTAAAAAAATAATTTGGTAATGCTTTAAACTTAAAAAAAATATGATAAATAATAAAAATATAATATAAAAGAGAGAGGGACCTAATAAAAATATAATATAAAAGAGAGGGGGATTTCTAGATAAATAGAGGGGTTGGAAAGGTTGGAAATAAATAAAAAAATTTAATTTGAAAAATCGGACTTTCAACATCGGTTCTATTTAACCGACGTTGAAAGTCCGATAACTTTCAACGTCGGTTAAATAGAACCGACGTTGAAAGTCTTAACTTTCAACGTCGCTCGATACAACGTCGGTTCCGGAACCGACGTTGAAGGCCTTATTTGTAGTAGTGGCGGGAGACACTCACTTAGCTATGTTTCGTGTATCAAAGGTGGAAAGTGTGAAGGTTGCTTTGAGACAGTTGGGGAAACTCAAATTGAACTAGAAACGAGACAACAAAAGTGATGATTCCGAAACAAGTTGAACATCAAGTTGTAGAATGCATGCTATGTTTTGTATAGTTTGAATAAACACATTATGAAAATGTTGGCTTTTGTTAACTAAGAAAACAATTAATGTATCATTGTTTTTGCAGTGTTGATGTATACTTTGTTAAAAGGGTTGTTTGTAATTTGGTTTGAAATTAGGTAAAAAAACTTATCCAATTTTTTATTACAAAAAAAATAAGGATGAAATAATTTATATGAAAATTTTAAAAATTTGTGATCTTAGAAAAAGTAAATTTCATACCCAAATTTATCACTACAAGACTTTATCTTATATGTTAAAATACATAGAAAAATAACTTATAATCATATTATTAAGATATAATAAATTTTTTTCTTGAATTTTTGTTGGTTTTACTAGATATTTTATGTAGAATTTTTTTTTCTTATTATTATTTTATTATTATCTTTCAAAAATAAGTAAATTTATTGTAGGTTTAAAATCATTCAATTTTTGTAGTTTGTTTTTTATCTTATCCTAAAGTTTTTCTTGTTTATAATTATGATTTTTGAACTCTTAGTGATGGAGGTGTTAATAAAATGTTAATGACATAACTTTCCCAAGAGGGGGTGAATTGGGTTTTTAAAAATCTTTTAAATTTATAATCAATTATTCGAAATTTTTTTCTCGATAATCAATTATAAAAGAAATATCACAATATTCACAAAACAAGAATACTAAGATAGGGAGAAGAAAAAAACTCATAAATTTATATTGGTTCGATTCTTCTTGAATCTACATCCAATTTTAACAAAACAACTTTAACTTGGAGTTTTTCACATTAAATCAGTGGTTGGGATAGAACATTGAATGAACCCTTCGAGATAGAAAATCAAGTAAATGACTTGTTGAAGAAGGGTTGAGATTAAGGAGAGTTTCAGTCCTTGTATTATACCTAGATTAAATATCTCACTTTTAATAAATACATAGATTAGATCTCCCACTTTTAAATAAATTGTTTTCTTTTACAAGGAAGATTTGGATTTGATGTCAGATCTTTCTCAAGAGGGAGGGTCCGATGGAGGACCATCCGGAGTATAACACATAAGGTCTCACCACACTCGGGCTTCAACACACTAGGCTTTAAATAAGGCCCAAACTTGAAGGGGATGCACTTAAGGTTCAAGTATTGGCTACAATAAAAGGGAATACATCATTTTATTTTCTCAAATTCGGCTAAAGCACTCCAAACATTCAAGGAGGTCTAAGGTTCAACTCTTG